TCTTTCCCTCCCGGGTAGGCTCAGCCACATGAGGTAACGTCACCCGAGGAGATTCAGGACCGCATAAAGGTGGGAGACATCTCAAATACGAGTCGGGCAGGATCCAGGCCCAGTTTACTCACAGTCCAGCTCTGAAACAGATCGCAGTGCTTGAGAAACTCTGGTGCACATTTTTTTTCTGATGCTTATGCTAATTTGGATTTTGTACCTGAAAGTGTTTAGATAATAAGCCAGAATCGGGTTCTGTATCTGCATTGTCTACGATATGCTTTCAAATTGATCCATTCAACCAAAGCATTTATATCTTCCCTGTATGTGATTTAGAATGTTTAGTTCTTTTCCTTTTCACATTTAAGATCTTTTTTATGTTTTTCTTTCTCTCTCTGGTAATGTTATCATCTGCTTCACTTTTAATATACTGTTTTGAGAACAAAGTGAACTTACTTTGAACTCTCTCATTTATACATTCATGAGTTTATTTTTCCTTTGCAGGCAGCCATTCGAAAAGAGCTTAATGAATTTAAAAGCACTGAAATGGAAGTTCATGAATTAAGTAGGCATCTAACAAGGTAAGCTGGGATTAATTTTTTAAGACTATCAATGAATACGGTTTTCAAAAAAAAAAAACAAAACCCAGCAGCTGTTTCTCCAAGACCCACTGAACATGCCATGAGATCTAAACAACATTTAGAATTACAGGCTGTAAAAGAAACTCACACAGATGAACTCATGCTGTCCCATTACATGGTGGTATGCAGGCATGTTATTAACACTTTATTTATTAACACTTTAATAAAGTGTTACCTCCTTTGACTTTATTTTTTAAATCACCATGCTCTAGCTGCATGTCTGTTCTGATACCAAAAGTAAACAGCGTTGGGTGTCTGAAGGAGGACAGGGAACCCTTGTAGAGCCAGTAGGTAGCAAGGTATCGATGAGTGAGCGCAAATCAAATCCCGCTGCGTGGATGGCTGTTCGGCACTACGCGCATCCCATGCACAGATCTCTCAGTGCCGTCCTCCACGTCCTGCCATAGGCAGCGCATGGGGAACTAGCAAGATTGGCATTAAAAGAGAGGCGCTATTTTTTATGCTTTTAGACTTTTTCGGGTGTTAAAAAGGTAGAGACTGAATGAATTATCCATGACCCCAAACTGCCAGCCCTCCCCTCCGACAGGCTGGGGCTGAGGCACACTGGGAGGTCAGGGCACGTCCCCTCACACAGCCTTGCTGAGTCTGCCCTGGCTTTGATGCTGAGATGAGCTGAACTCCCGGCGTTTCAGCTGAAGTCAGGCCTTTGCAATTCAACGTTAACCCACGCTCACTGTTAGACGTTAAAAACAAGCGTTAGGTATTGAAGACAAGCAAGAGTGAGATCTGGTGCAAAACTGGAGCTGCCCTTCTATTAATAGGTTCATCAGCGAGGTGCTCATAAAAAATGCAGTTAACACTTTTAAGAAAAATACAGATTAAGGCAAAATTAATTTTGTATTAAGGTATTTTTATGTGTATGAATTAATAATTATATTAAAATTCACCACATGTATTATGCATATATTGCCTTGCAGAAACGATCTCCCTTCTACTTCCTAGCATGTGCTAGGATGGCTGCACTGGGCTTTGCAATAACCGAGTGCTGCTAGAGACAAGCCGGCTGCCTTTGAGCCACGGGGTCTGGAAGAAGCTCTAGGGAGTGCAGTTGGCCTAGATCTGTTGACCTGGTGACTGAGCCTTTGAGGGACATTTGGCTCACTCCTCCAGGAGAGCGGTGACAAATTTAGAAAGGATGAGGCTGTTTTAAAGGGGCTGTTGCTACAAGGGGTTGAGCTCCATTGAGAGCTCCATAGATTTCTATGAGGCCTTTACCATCCCACAAACATAGAGGTGGGTTTAGTTTTCCAGAGGTCTCTCCAGCTTGCTTGGCTTTCACAGGTTTCTGGGCAGCATTTTGCTTCTCTTCCAGTGTTGGGGTGAGCAGTGACCCTCTGTGGTGGGTCGGTTTGTATTTGAAAGCAATTGGCTTTGGCTTTGGCTCGCTAAGTCTGGGCCAGGCACACTGGGTGATGTAGCTAATGTAATAGAAATTGGAGCAAGGGTTTGTCTGAAGTTCAGCAGGACTTTCTGGTTAAACAAGTGGCCTCAGGAAACACGCACTTGAAGGAAGCATGCTTAAACAAAATAAATAGAGTAATTCCCTTAAACAAACTTAGATAAATCACCATTATAAAATCATTAGCAAGGTAATGAGCTATTCATGTCGTTAAGCAGAGGCATGAGCTGAGCAAAGAACTTGAGTGTTGCTTTACTAGTGGGACACATTAATTAATTCAAGATAGAGTGAAAAATCAAAGCTTTAAAAAAAAAACCTTTGCAGAGCTGACAAACCCCAGCCTCCTGACACAAGGTGTGCTTGCAGAAAGGGTGGCCATTTTAGCTCCACTTGTTTCTTTAGCCTCAGCCATTAAGAAATAATCATACTTGAACTGTATGTAAATCTTTCTGGCTGAAGAGCATAAAGTTTGTCTAAACTAGACAGTTTTTGTGGAATTGGGCATGGTGTGGTCTGAAAGAGGATCAGGAAACTGATCTGAAATAACTCGTTCAGGTATCCAATAGGGCGAACCCAAAGCGTACCAGTGTCTTGGGTGGATTTTGGTGCAAACAGCTTACGCCTATGCACTGAGAGTCTGGCGAGGGCCAAGGAAGTGCAAGTGTCTATTCCGGGTCCACAGTGCAAGCACTGCTGATGTCAATGCTTCAGGAATTGAGCTGCCTGATTGTGTCACTGTAGCAATTAGTTCTCTGATTTTTTTACATCCAATATGCATGTGGGGATGTTACCATTTATCTTTTTTTTTTTCCCCTTGGGTTTTAGGTTTCACAGACCGTAGCAGTTCAATTCTACCCAACTACTATGCTGTCTTCAAAATATAACTAAAAGGAACCATAAGTGCTGGTATTATTCACTTCCCTGTTACGTACAATGTAAATCTTCCGAACTGCCTTTTTAAAAAAAAAAAAGTAGAAAAATAAATACAAAAAAAAGGAAAATTGTATTTACATGTGATGGGTACTGCAGCAGCATCAGACCTGCTGGTTCAAGCTTCAATAACAGAAAATACCCCTGGTGGGAATCATGCCAAGACTCAGCGTCCATGTATAAGACTTTCCTGGCATGTGGATTTGCCATACACGTTCAAGCCCAGCTGGTGGTTCATCCATGTTGTCTTCAGGCACCCCTCATCCTGATAAGCCTCTGTCATCAACTCCAGCGAGCCCTGAGATGGTGTTCAGGGCATCACTGGCCTGGGTGAAGTCTTGAGAAGACCAGTACCTATGGCACTAAAGCACTTATACCAAACACTCCCTCCAGGCTGTGAGCACCTTATGAGCACGGTGAAGGAGCAAAACTACTCTACAGGCGAGCCCATCTGTGAATATGCCTGACTAGAAAGGCATTTCTTCCCCTGGAGAAGTTCATGGCCAGTCAATAGGCCCAAGCAGAAAAAGGCATCATCGGTAACGAACAGGACTCCCTGCTGAAGGCTGGTGCAGTTCTAGCAACTGTTTTGTTTTTCATCTCTTTCAAGTATGATTTTCTAAACCCAGCTGTGAACCCACCAGCAGTAAGTGACAAGAATGTTGAGGACAAGCAAGCAAAACCCATCTCTTCATGGTCACTGCATGGCATTCACTCAGCTTGTAGTTTGTTTTTACACCCAAGCCTCATGATTGTGGGAGCCGATGCACGCCCAGCAGCAAGAAAGGCTGGGATTTCCGCCCGCTCTGCAGAGGGACACATGACAAGAGGAACTGGGGGTTCTATGAGGGATATCTATCCTCTCTGTATCGGGTGTTTGAAGAACTGATCCTAAACTCATACTGAGAAAAGCATGACAGATTGTGTGACCCGGCCTAACAAAAGGAGTCTGGTGCATTGGTATGGATGGTGGGACTTGTCACCAGTACCCACAGCTGAGGCGTAAGGACAGCAATTCAGAGATGTTCTGGTTTGGTTTTAATTTATTTTTATTATAGTGGTGTAACACACAAACTGACCAAGTAGAGCTCAGAGAGCTGGTCACTCTGGGCCTGGTTTACCTGCCAACTTAAGCGTGTGCTTAACACTAAGTGAGCACACAAACAGCCTCACTGCATTCAAGAACATGTCTGACAAGCTTAATTGAAGCTGAACACATGTAAGTGCTTTTCTGGACTTTGGCCAGCACCTCCCAGAATCAAGTCCTTAACTAGTCTAAGGCCAGCAAGCTGGGGCAAACATTGTCTAGGATTCGTTTCCAGCTCTAACAAGAAACTATTATGCCATGTTTTGGGCCACCAGCCCAAAGCACTGTAGCAACATTGCTGTAAGAAGTTCCATATTATTACTTCAGGACACCTTTTTTCTTCCAGAATAGCTATTTCACTTTGACAGTTTGAACAGAGAGGCCAAAGTTTTTTACAACAGTATTGTTATTTCTGTTATTTTTTCCTTTCTCACTGTCTTCCATGTATCTGTCCACTCTTCTGTGCTCCCTCTCTACCTCCCCCGATGCCATGCTAACATTGCCCTTTGATTGTGGGCCGAGAAAGCCTCTCGTGCATGAGCATTTAACGGCCAACACTGCACAGTGCCAACACTCCTCTCAGGCCTTGGTCTCATTCCTCTGGCTGCAAGAGTAAAGCAAAAGGATCTGCATGGAGGCCATGGAGTTGCTTTAGCATCCAGCCTGCCCAAACACCACTGGCAGTGAGGTAACGCACTCCACTTACGCTTAGCGGTGGTACTCAATACCTCACAGATTTGCTCTCCATCAGAGACAAGTGAAAGCATTTCATCCTCATCTGCAGCCATCCTTGCACTGCTATGGATTGTTAGCTATTAAATAACAATTGGCTGTTGTAGGATGGAAGATGCTGCAAAGGAAAGTAAAAACCAGCTGGTTTCTGGTGCCTCGTTTTTGAGACAGCGTGCCTCTGATGCGATACGCTTCCCAGACGAGGGAATTATTTCCAAAGAAATCACCAGCTCACAGTTGCTTTAGATACAAGTTCCCCAGTAGTGGAAGCCTTTCATGTGCAATGTTATCAGCTCAGCGCAGCAAGGACAAAGCACTTACGCACTAGCCTGGAGTACACTGCTTTGGGGTTATTTTCATGAAAAGCTGGGGTTCGTGTTTTTAAATTCATGTGCGCATAACAAGACTGCATCACAGCTTTAAAAAGGGAAAATAAAGCTCAAGGCTTTTGACTATACACATATTGCATTAGGAAAGGGCTCTGCAACACAAGTGTTTTGAAGAGCAACAAGGCCTCATGTTCCCAGTACGGATCCCATACCTGCCCTGGCATCATTAGCTTAGAGGTTCAGCGTGAAAAGGAAGGGGACCTTTTAAGGAGCGGTGGTGACAGAAATCACAGGACGCAGTAGGCTGGTGGGAAGAAAAGGTGAGATTTTTTTTTTTTTCCCCCTCCATTTCATGATTAAGATGAAGAGGAAAGAGGTGGTGGTAGCAAACTGCTGCTGCCAGTCTGTTTTCAGTGCTAGAGTGCCCAGGGGAACGGGTAGTCTGTAGGCAACGTCACTCTGGGTACTGCCACTGTCCCCCATGGGCATGGACCTCAGCAGCACCCACACCGGCCGGTCTTGTGGCCTAAATAAACCCTTGGGCACTGGTTGAGGCACCCAACAGCCAAGTCCTGGGTGACACTCCCCAGCACCCTGCCGTCGTCTGGAAGGTCCCTGCTGGCTGCTTAGCAAGTTGTTGCACTCTGCCTGCCTCAGGATTCACGCTGTCCCCAGGGCAGCTACACCTGGCAATGCTTTTTGCTTTTTCTCTTTTTTCCCTTTTTTTTTTTTAAATGACATCATTAACTCCTGGCTGAGCAGACACCAGGTAGAAGAACTGCCGTATTTCTCCTGAACTGCAAGTAGAGCTTATTACTGAAAAGGGAGGAGGAGAAGGAGGAGAAAGAAGCCATATAAAGTGTTCGGCACTGTAGTAAGCATCACAGAACTGGCACTTCATCTGGTTTTAGCTGCAGTGGCTCTGGGTATTCTGCAAAGTTACCCTTTGGTGAGGTTGTTCTTCAACAACCTCTCAGTGCTTGAACACTGCAGCACATCCTCAGTTTGCACGCCCACCTCTGGCATCCATGGGAAGTTGCAAGCAGACTGGGGAACAGCTAGTTTGGTTGGTTGTTTTTTTTTTAAAGTATGTTTTCTTCTTGTGTGAAAGCCATCTCTACCACAGTAAAGCAGTTGCGATTCTGTTGGGGGTGGGGAAAAACAAACCAAAACAAGTAGTCATGATTTCCCCCCTTTCAACCTGGATTACATGCAGGACGTAAAGACATTTCTGCAAAGACACTGTTAACACCACAGTTAAAACCAGTCATCCTCATTCATATTAGGAGGAGGATTTAATAGTAGTAATAAAGAAATTATATCAGGTTTAGAGAACAGAAAAAATCAATGCAGAACAAAAATGGCTATTCCAGTCATCCATCTCCAGGGCTGATAATGGACATAGAATATTCTAGAGTCAAGGAAGAAAAACATTTTGGTTATAACCTACTGAATCCTGATGGGTTACTCACACTTAAAACGTGCAAGTATTGCGACATCTGTTCTACAGCCTATGGAAAAATGAACTGGAAACTGGGGGGCTGAGGAGGTGGCAGGGATTGGAAAAGAAATGCCAAAACATCTAGACGAAAGTTTTGATTGGAAAAAAGCGATGGTGAGGAATCACGATGGTGGCATCGCCCTCCCACCCACACCCTCGCCAGCAGCGGGCTGTTAGGGGCCTGGCAACGTATTTATGACTAACAGGGAAGGTCAGCGTTGTGGCCCTTCCCCACTCTGCACCCCACTGGTTAGGTACTTGCCAGCTGAAGAAGTTTCAGGCTGCAGGTTCGCTGGGACAGGGCTCAGGTGAGCTTTTCTGTCTAGACAATTCCTAGTGTGCACTCTAGACATTATCAGAAGAGAAGGAAGAGGGAAGACTAATATAATCAACTTTTAACTAGTTTACATTAACTGAAACTATTTCGTGAGCCCATTACACAAATATATTTCAGCCTAAGGCTTACAGGTAACCACAGCACTCTGTCATCACCAAACTCACCCTTCATTACTTCTACAGAGTGCCATATGTACAGTGGAAACACTATAAGCCAACAGAGGGGGAGCACCTCCAACATGCCTAGTGAAAGCTTGCACTCGTGAAGATAGGTGGAAACCCATAGTTATATGTGAATGGGGGCTCCCTAACTATGCCTGCAAGTAAAATCACTTATATAAATAGCCATGGGAGATGACTAGGCTAATAAAAAAAAATCAGGAAAGAAAAAGGCGGACAAATTGTTTTTCCCAGGCGTTCAGTCTGCTCAAGCTTGGAACAACTCTGTAAACAAAGAGGTGGTGATGAGCACATTACCTGCTGTCCCATGTGACCCAGTTACTCCTACACCAGTTGCATTTTCCAGTTGATATCCAAGTGTATGTAAATAGTTTGTCTCTGTATAGGAGTGAGTGTGGTGGCTGTCAATCATGTGCTCTTCCAGTATTGTAATTTAACAGATTATGGCTGTATGAAAACTATGTAAATAACTAGGAAAAAATTAAACTGGATCTCTATGTCCTAGTTTTTGTACATACTGAAACTGCATGGTCTTTAAATTATTGTTTGTCTCTGATGTATGCAGTTTCTTAAAAAAATTCATTTAAAAAAAAAGCATTCCTGTGTCTGTGTATTTTATCACCCTCCGTCCCAGTGACTGATCATGTAACAAACGGACGCAGTCGAGGATACCAGTCCTCCTGCTGCCAGCCACGCTCAGCACGGCAGCCCAGCAGCTGCGGCACAGCACGTGCCTGCGGCATGCCTACACCTCAGCTGGAGCAAACCAGAAGAGCAAGACTTACCAGATCGATGGGGCGTTGTATCGGCTGAGCCACTAGTGCCATCTCTGTGAGCTCGTTCAGCAAAGGTGGGCAAAGGA